AAGAAGAAGAGTAAAAGGAGTAAAAGGAAGAAAAGTAAGAAGAAGAGTAAAAGGAGTAAAAGGAAGAAGAGCAAGAAGAGAAGTCAAAGTAAAAGGAAGAGGAGGAGGAGAAGAGTAAAAGAAAGAAGAAGAGGAAGAGTAAAAGGAAGAAGAGTAAGAAGAGAAGTAAAAGGAAAAGGAAGAAGAAGAAGAGGAGGAGAAGGAGAAGAGTAAAAGGAAGAAGAGTAAGAAGAAAAGGAAGAGTAAAAGGAAGAAGAGTAAGAAGAAGAGGAGAAAAAGTAAAAGGAAGAAGAAGAGGAGGAGAAGGAGAAGAAGAAGGGGAAGGAGAAGGAGAAGGAGAAGGAGAAATAATAAATTTTAAGCTGAAGCTGCTCTAACAAAAGAAAACGATTCCAGTGTCTGGCACCAAAAATCTTTGCTTTGGGCCTGAGGAAAGTTTGCAGAAGACAGAGGCACGTCTCGCTTGGCATGCAAAAGCTAGGGAAGCCTGCTTTGAAGTCTCTTCAAGCCTTCCCCCCTCCCCTGCTTTCCTTTTAAATTTAGCACAGCTTCTGCAGCACATCAAGTAACAGATCAAGGCTGAGAATCTGGGCGTCTTCCTGAGAAGAAGCCTCTGGGGAGACACCACCAGATGAGATAAAAAAAAAACAAAAAACGATTACACGACTTATCTCTTTATTCACACTTTTATTTGGCGTTGATATCTGATGGCCAATGTCTCTCCAGGCTCAGCAGAAGGGAAGCTCTTAAAATCGATCCCGGGTTTTTCTCCCCCCAAAAAACAGGCCGAAAAAAGCCTCAAAAATGGGCTGAAAAAAGCGTCAAAAACGGGCCAAAAAAAGTATAAAAAATGAGCCCAAAAGCCTTGAAAACAGGCCGAAAAAAGCCCCCAAAACGGGCCAGAAAAAGCCTCAAAAATGGGCTGAAAAAAGCCTCAAAAATGGGTCAAAAAAGCCTAAAAATGGTCCCAAAAGCCTTGAAAATGGGCCCAAAAAAGCCCTCAAAACAGGCCCCCCAAACCCTCAAAAATGGGCTGAAAAAAGCCTCAAAAATGGGCCGTAAAAAGCCTAAAGAAGGGGCCCCAAAGCCTTGAAAACGGGCCGAAAAAAGCCCCCAAAATGGGCCAAAAAAAGCCTAAAAAATGGGCCCCAAAGCCTTGAAAATGGGCCAAAAAAAGCCTCAAAAACGGGCTGAAAAAAGCCTCAAAAACGGGCCCAAAAAAGCCTAAAAAATGGGCCAAAAGCCTTGAAAACGGGCCAAAAAAAGCCTCATAAACAGGCTGAAAAAAAAAGGCCCGAAAAAAGGGGCTGCGGAGGCCAAAAAAAAAAAAAAAAATGGGCTGGCAGCTGGGCTTTGGCAATATTCGGTCTATAAGACGCACAGACATTTTTGCTCCCTTTTGGGAGACCAAAAAGTGCGTCATATAGTCTGAAAATTACGGTAAATAAAAAATTAAATTATTATTTTTTTATCTCTGCAACCTGGCAAAGGATAATACGTGGAGATATTATCACCCCTGAGCATCGCAGTTAACAATGGCGTGCCTTTGGAAACTGCCTAACACAACATGTTACAGCAATGAGCAGCTTAAATTAATTACCGCGTATTTATGGATCAGTGTGTGCTTCTGTGGGATTAAGATAAATCGAGACAGAGAAACTGAGATAGCAACACCAGCAGCTTATTTGCGAGCATCAAAGAGCCAGGAAATCAGCCGTCTCACTAAGTCTTGAAATGCAGTAAAGGATTTGACTGACACTGCATCCAGTTTTGGTCACCAGATGACAAAAAAAAAAAAAAAAAAAAAAAGAGGTTAAGACTTTGGAAAAAATGCAAAGAAGAGCAACTAAGATGATTGAAGGGCCCGGAGACTAAATCATACGAAGAACGGTTGCAGGATTTGGGTTTGGGTAGTCTAGAGCAGGGGTCTGCAACCTTAAACACTCAAAGAGCCATTTGGACCCGTTTCCCACAGAAAAGAAAACACCGGGAGCCACAAAAACCCTTCCCATCCTGATTATTTCCTGCACAAAACTAGCATCTGTAGTTGAATTAAACGTTCTGTTTTCTTTGGAAACTTTTCTTTTCTGGGATTTATCCATGGTTGGCCTACCGGGGGTTGAAAAGCTCAATAAATCGCGTGCCGGCGGGTGTCGCACATTGGCGGTTGTGATGCATATTTTGAGTGACGGGGAGCCGCAGCAGAGGAGTGAAAGAGCCACATCCCTCAATCTCATTTTTGTTGCTGGATTGTTGTGACAGCCATGAGAAGCGGCATCTAAATCAGGGTTTAGGATAGATTTGCAAAACATCAAAAAACAAACCTAGGTTGCGTCAGCAGAAATATAATATCTTGATCCCACGAAGGCATCACGCCACCTTATTTCGCCAGGCTCAACCTCCTTTCAGACGGATTCAAAGAAATGGGAGCATCTCTGTCCAGGAAGATCCGATGAAGATGATACCATTCATTCTAGGAAGAGAGGTTGGAAGATGCCGGACACAGTCCTGAGAAGGAGGGATGGGCCTGCAGAGGAGTCCAAAAAGTCCGAAAAGAAGCGGCCATATGAATTCCTCCCTCCTGTTGAAAAGAAAACAGGCCTAGACAGGTAGATTTCGACTTACGACCACAACTGAGCCCCAAGTTTCCATTGTTAAGCGGGACATTTGTGAAGCGGAGTTTTGCCCCATTTTACGACTTTCCTCGCCTCCGTTGTGAAGCGAATCACTGCCGTTGATAAGTTAATTTTCTATTAATTATATTTCTTAGTGCTTAATAAACATCATTTTGACTGGGTATTTAATTTGCTTAGCAATACAGATTCCATTTTTACTCTCCACCCCTTTTTTCCAACCACTGGTGAAATAAGTTCCAAGTTTGATAATATTCTGTGTCCTCTTTCTGTTTGATTTTCAATTTGGTCAGTCTGTCTATTTCTGCACAATCTTAATAGCTTCTTAATGATCTCTTCGTCTCACGGTGTTTCTTCCATCTTTCCAATATTGTGCAAAGATAATCCTTGCTGCTGTTAAAACACGTCATACTAAATACATATTTATCTTATCAATTTTTTCTGATATCATCCCTAATTAAAAACAGTTCAGGTTTAAAATCTACAGGTTTCCCCTATTATCTTTTCTAACCATCTGTGTATTTTTGCCCAATTTTTTTTTTTTAGCACAAGTCCACCACATATGATAAAATGTGCCCGTTTTCTGGTTACATTTCCAACATTGGCTAGACCTATTTTTAAATATTTTAGCTAACCTAAAGGTAAAGGTAAAGGTTCCCCTTGCACATCTGTGCTAGTCGTTCCCGACTCTAGGGGGCGCTGCTCATTCCCATTTCAAAGCCGAAGAGCCAGCGCTGTCCAAAGACGTCTCTGTGGTCATGTGGCCGGCATGACTCAACGCCAAAGGCGCACGGAACGCTGTTCCCTTCCCACCAAAGGTGGTCCCTGTTTTTCTACTTGCATTTTTTAAGTGCTTTCGAACTGCTAGGTTGGCAGAAGCTGGGACAAGTCACGGGAGCTCACCCCGTTTACGCGGCACTCGGGATTCAAACCGCTGAACTGCCGACCTTTCGATCGACAAGCTCAGCATCTTAGCCCCTGAGCCACCGCATCCCTTTAGCTATCCTAGCAGGTGATAAATGCCCATCTATAAAACATTTTATATAAATGTTCTTTATAAGAGGTTGCTATAGTTCCTTTCCCATAAATTTTGCCAGAATATTCTGTTCTGTTCTGTTCTGTTCTGTTCTGTTCTGTTCTGTTCTGTTCTGTTCTGTTCTGTTCTGAAGCAGTGGGGATTTTTGTACTTGGCCTCGCAGAGACCCACTTGGATTCCCAGACAGGTGCTTTCCTGGCAAAGGGATTCCACATTGACCTAATCATCAGATGCCTCTTAGCCAATCTGCAAGCTCCCTCTTGGCTTCTTGCCTCCTTTTGACCTCCCCAATCCGCCTGGCCAGGTTTTGCCTTACCTGGGCGGGATCCTTTCTCAGACGTCTCATGGGGTGATGGGTGAGTCATCCCAGCCTTTGGGAGCGGCAGGAAATGTAGAAAAGGCACCTATAGAAAAGTAGGTAGGTAGGTAGGTAGGATAGATAGATAGATAGATGATAGATAGACAGGCAGACAGACAGACTGAGATAGATAGATAGATAGATAGATAGATAGATAGATAGATAGATAGATAGATAGATAGATAGATAGATAGATAGATAGATAGATAGATGATAGATAGACACAGACAGACAGACTGAGATAGATAGATAGATAGATAGATAGATAGATAGATAGATAGATAGATAGATAGATAGAAAGGAAAGAAAGAAAGAAAGAAAGAAAGAAAGAAAGAAAGAAAGCCTGACTAGGTGGCCCAGTGACTAAGACACTGAGCTTGTCAAGTTCAAATCCCTGGAACAGGTCTCCTGCATGAGAAGGGGGTTGGACTAGATGACCTCTATGGTCCCTTCCAACTCTGTTACTGTTTACAGAAAGAAAGAAAGAAAGAAAGAAAAGAAAAGAAAAGAAAGAAAGAAAGAAAGAAAGAAAGAAAGAAAGAAAGAAAGAAAGAAAGAAAGCCAGCCCAGTTGCTTTTTAAAAAATCACCTTGAAAGGGGGGGGGGGTTGGTCTCCTTGCAGTCTTCCTCGCCAGGAAAGAGCCCCACGCAGAGAGACCCTCCACCCCCATCCCTTCCTCCGTCCACCCCCCCCCCCCCCCCCCCCCCCCCCCCCCCCCCCCCCCCCACCCCCCCCCCGCCCCCAGACAGACACCGTCGAGGCTGAGCCGGCAGGTAAAAAATCCCGGGGCTGAATGGGAGCGTGGGAACCCGAGGGGGCGTGGCTCCGCGGGTGGTGTTGCCGACGCCGTCCAATCCCAGGCCGTCTGGCGGACGCGCCCACCCCCCCTCGGGTTTAAAAAAAAAAAAAAAAAAAGAGCCGCCTCTCAGTCACTCACTCTCTCCATTCATTCATTCATTTCTTGTGCCGGTGCGCGCTGGCCATGGTTTCCTTTGCGCGCTTGGCGCTGCTGATCCTGAGCTTGGCGCTGCCTTGCGCCCGCGGCTCCTGGACCGAAGCCAACACGGCCTGCCCCACCAGGGCCACCGGGGGCCGCTCCCGGCTCCTGAGCTTCCTCTGGCTGCGCCCCGACGGCTCCCCCTCCACGGTCCTGGTCCAGAGCCTTTGGGATCCGCGCAGCGGGCAGCTGCTGGAGTGCGCCCTGAGGACCGAGCCCGACTTAACCCGCCGCTACCTGGAGCTCTGCGCCCCCGGAGGGCTCCGCGACCCTTTAGTCCGCGCTTCCTGGGGGCCCGGGCTGCGCAGAGAGCTGGACGCTTTGGATGCGCGCAAGGGAGCCTGCAAAGGAGCTGCAGAGGGAAAACGGGAAGGGCAGGCGAGGCCCCGGAGCCGGCGAGGATGGACGGTGCCCGGCACGCTTTGGTGCGGAGCCGGGCACACGGCTGAGAAGCCCTCGGAGCTGGGTAAGGGGGAAGGGAAGGGAAAGGGTCGGTGGGGCGCGCGATCCTCGGCGGGTTTTGCAAGTGCCAAGGGAAGGAAACAGGGCCAAATTCCCCCCCCCCACCCCAGTTCTTTGTGCCTTTAAAAATAAAATAAAATAGGGGTGGGTTGGGGTAGGGGGTTGGAGGGAAGTGGGGGAGGAGGGATGGGAATTTTTTTTTTTTAATTTGATTTATATGCCGCCCTTCTCCGGAGACTCAGGGCGGCTTACAATGCGCTAAGCAATAACCTTCATTCTTTTGTATATTTATACAAAGTCAGCTTATTGCCCCCACAATCCGGGTCCTCATTTTACCCACCTTAGAAAGGATGGAAGGCTGAGTCGACCTTGAGCCTTGGAGAGATTCGAACCAGCAGTAATTGCAGGCAGCTGGTCTTAATAACAGGGTGCTTTAGACCACTGTACTATCAAGGCTCTTTTTGCTGTAATACTTGTTAAAACTTTTTAAATAAAAAATAAAATAAAATAAAAAATCCGGGTGCTTTGCTGGCTCTTTTTGCATACCCACGCGCAGGAAAAAAGAGAGAGAGAGAGAGAGAGAGAAAAACCAACAACAACCCAGGTGAGACATTGGTATGAGTCAGCAGCCGGTCGGTGGAACTCCTTGCCACTAGAGCTAGATGCTGCAGTGGGAAGCCGGTGGGTGGTTTTGAGAAGTAGCTTTGCTTTCAAGAGAGGAATTCATCTCCCTTTGGCAGATGGAGGTTTTTCCTCTGAGGTTGGTTGCCAGGCGGGGCAAGAGGATGCAGGAACTCCTCTTCTGATGAGAAGCTTCTAGAGGGTTTCTTGGATGGACGTGGTGGGAGGAGGCGGTCAGGCACTCCCGCTGAACCAACAACAGGCCGACATTCTAGAAACCAGCTTTGTTCAGCTTGGGTTTATTTACAAATAACTCAAAAGTGGCCAACAATCCCGCTTCTCTATTTTCCCCTGGAACAACAACGCTGTGAGTTAGGCTGGGCTGAGAGACGGGGAGCTGGTTTAAAGCCCCCCGCCCCCCAGCTGCCTTTCAGGAGGTTTGTGAGTTTGATCCTAGGTAGAGGCAGATGTAGGGTCTCCTGCTTGGGCAGGGGGTTGGACTAGATGACCTGCAAGGACCCTTCCAACTCCGTTAATCTGTTAATGTCTAAGGCGGGGCCAGAACTCCTAGTTACCAGCCTGGTTCCTTAACCACTGCACCAACTCGCTCCACGTGGCACCGGCTGGAGGGCAGCTCGCGCCACGCTTGTCGAACAGCTGGGCGGCTCATCCTCGAGGGATGCCCGTTCTTGGCGCTTCGCTTTGAAAGAGCCCCTCGCCCGTCTGCCCTTCAGGCTTTGCCAATGCCAATGCAGCTGCAGGAGGAAGAGAGAGAGAGAGAGAAGAAAGGTTGGATCAGCCTTTCCTGGTGGGCAGAGCAGGGAAGGAAGAGTTTATTTATTTATTTATTTATTTATTTATCATATTTGTATACCGCCCTACTCCCGAAGGACTCAGGGCGGTGAACAGCCAAGATAAAAATACAAAGAACGTACAAAAGTTAAAAAAAACTATTAAAAACAGATTAAATAATTTGGGCTCAAAAAACAAATTTAAGACATCCAATTTATCTAAAAACATTTAAAACCCAATTTAAAAGGGAGAGTTGGCAGTTGGACGGGTATCCAAAAAAAACCCAAACAAACAAACAAAAAAAAAGCAGCGATAGCAGACAGGAAAGTGAGAGAGAATCCGAATCAGAATAGAATCTGGAAAGGGACCTTGGAGGTCTTCTAGTCCAACCCCCTGCTCAAACAAAAAATCCTATACCATTTCAGACAGATGGCTATCTAGTCTCTTCTTAAAAACCTCCAGTGTTGGAGCATTCACAACTTCTAGTGGCAAGTTGTTCCACTGGTTAATTGTCCTCACTGTCAGGAAATTCCTCCTTAGTTCTAAGTTGCTTCTCTCCTTGATTAGTTTCCACCCATCGCTTCTTGTCCTGCCCTCAGGTGCTTTGGAGAATAGCTTGACTGCCTCTTCTTTTGGGGCAGCCCCTGAGATATTGTAAGACTGCTATCGTGTCTCCCCTAGTCCTTCTTTTCATCAAACTAGACATACCCAGTTCCTGCAACCGTTCTTCATAGGTTTTAGCCTCCAGGCATTTGATCATCTTAATTGCTCTTCTCTGCACTTTTTGCAAAGTCTCAAAATATATATTTATATTTTTTTGCAATGTGGGGGATCAAAACTGGATGCGGTATTCCGGGTGTAACCTTACCCTTTTTGCATCTTTGGTGAGATGTCTTGCCTTGTTTGGGAAGTGCACAGCGCAACTCTCATCCTGGAGATGCAGCCGCTGATGTCCCCATCCTCGAAGCCCCACCCTGCATAGGGTTTCCTGCTCAAGCACGGGGTTGGACTAGATGACCTCCAAGGTCCCTTCCAACTTTGTCATTCTCTTATTCTCTAGCTTTGTTCAGAGACGGCTCCGAGTGAAATGCCCAGTGGCACCATTTTTCGTCTAATCCCGCTTCCTTCTTTTTTTGCAGGGGTTTTCCAAGGCCCGGATGTGTGTTGTCGTGAGCACGACAAGTGCGACGCCCACATCTCTGCTCTCGGGTTCAAGTACGGCATGCGTAACTATCGGCTGCACACCATTTCTCACTGCAGCTGCGATAACAGGTGAGTAACAGGCTCCTGCGATGCTTGGGGTTTGAGCTAAGCTTCTCCCACCTGGCACCTTCCCGATCTGTTGAACTCACAGTGCCATCGTTTGGACTTTCTGGTTTTTCTTTGAAGACGTTTCTCTTCTCATCCAAGAAGCTTCTTCAGCTCTGGCCGGATGGTGGGGAAATAGAAGCATTGATTCTTCTGATTCCGAGTCCCTTGGGAGTTGGGCGGCATAGAAATGCAACAAAATAAATAAAAAATAAATAAATGATTCTCCTTGCAGACAGCTGGGCATTTGCATCCTTTTTAGAGAGCCCTCGAGGCCACTCGGAGATTTATCTCTGTCCTGAGGGGTGCCAATGGTTTCTGTAGTCTGCCATTTTCCTGGAAATCCGTTCACACTCCCACCCCATTCCAAGGGTCTCCATCCCATAGCTAAAAGTCTATGGAGATTCTCCGTCCTCCAGGTTACGGTTGTTTCAAAAGGTGATTTTTTTTTTTCCAAGAGGCAACTGGACTTTCTGTTTTTTTTTCTTTGAAGATGTTTCTCTTCTCATCCAAGAAGCTTCTTCAGCTCTGACCGGATGGTGGAGAGATGGAAGGGTTGATTCTCCTTGCACACAGCTGGTCATTTGCATCCTTTTTTAGAGGGTCGTTGAGGCCACTTGGAGAGGTTTACCTGTGTCCTCAGGGTCACCTGAGCAGTGCAAATGGTTCCTGTAGTCTGCTATTTTTTCCTCTGGAAATCCATTACTACTCCCACATCATTCAAATGGTCTGCTGGCTTGAAAGAGGGGTCAAAGAGACCATCTATGCCCTCTCTCAACGGGGGGGGGGGAAGGGATACGGCATAATCTATCTCCAGTCTACAAGATGGTCCTTTCAGCTGTTCCAAGAAGGCTCCCCACTCATTTGCGCCACTCAGGTGACCCTGAGGACACAGATTAAAACCTCCAAGTAGCCTCAAGGACTCTCTAAAAAGGATGCAAATGACCAGCTGTCTGCAAGGAGTATAAATCCTTCTGTTCCTCACTATCCTATCAGAGCTGAAGAAGCTTCTTGGAGGAGAAGCGAAAAGTCTTCAAAAGAAAAACCAGAAAGTCCAATGGCCTCTTGAAAAAAAAACAGCTCCTTTGGGACAATCGTGACCTGGAGGACTAAGAATCTCTACAGACTTTCACTTTCCCATCCTTCCCTTGCATTGTTGAATCCTGCTGGTCTGGGGATGCTGGGTGTTGTAGTCCAAAGCACCCGGAGACTGGCAGATGGGAAATGCCAGCCCTTCAAGCAGGAACTGTCGAACGAAATGTTCTTCCTTCTGGCTCTCCGCAGGTTCAGGGATTGCCTGAAGAACCTCAACGATACCATCTCCAACTTCATCGGGAACAGTTTCTTCAACCTGCTGGAAATCCCATGTTTCAACCTGAAAGAGAGTGAGGACTGCCTTGAATGGCACTGGTGGGGCGGGTGAGTAAGCCAGCCGGGTGAGGAAATGAACCGAGAAAAGAGACTCCTTGATTTACGACCTCCATGGAGCCCAACCCTTACGTCACCAAGCGAGACTCAAAACCGAATTCTGTTCAAAAAGAGATTTTCTCAAATGTTAATTGCAACTTTCAAGAAGGGTTTTTTTTTGTTGTTGTTACCGTTGCTTTTCCTTCTATTTTCTTTTCCCTTTTTTCCCCCCCTTTCTGCTTAATTAAAGAACCACCCCAATTAAAAAGGGGTACCCAAGAATCACATGCCATTTCTAATTCGGTAAAGGAATGGAATTTTAAGACAATTCATTAGGAATCCTGCAAAGCAGAGCTTATGGTTCCTTGCAAATTCCCAAACTTCGTCAATTCTCAAAATTCTTTTGGAAACACGGACTTTCCAATGCCCGAATTTCCCACCAATCAGGGCCCTTGGTGAGAAGTTTGGAACCCGTCTCTCTCCGTGAGTTGGAGAACGCGCCTGTAAATCCATCCAGATTGTTCTAGATTTGTTCTTTCCTCAAAGGTACAAGTCGTCCCACACCCAATTGTCCTTGACAATTCTCTGTTTTCTCCATCTCCTGCGGCCAACCGATTTTTTTTTTCCTCCCGGAGTGGCAGGCCAAAACTCCTTTTCAAGACCTGTTAAGTCTTGCTGAAAGGACACCCGAGTTACACAACATACGATTTGAAAGCTGCCCACCCACAATATAGTTCCGTGTCTTGTGTAAAACCTGCCTCTGCGTTTAATGTTGGTCTCGGCGCATCGTGCAACAGCTGAATTGCATAACCCAGGTTAAAGGTGTGGTGGAAATGCAAAGACTGAATTTGGCGCCTGGTTATTTTTTCTTTCTCTCTCTCTCTCCTGTGCTAGGTGTAAGAAGTATGGCATGATGCCCCTGGCTCATTTGGTTGATCCAAGTCCATATCAGCCCATCGGGAACGCCGACGTTATTACCACATCACCCCTCCACTCTAGAAAGCATCGAAAATTCGGCTCGAAAGATGGAAAAATACGGAGAAAGAAGGTGAAGAAACCGAGCTCCGAGCTCCAGGATCCCATCATCCCACTCACCCCAATCTCCAAGATGAATCAAGCCACTCACCTCCCAGGAAGAAGCTCTCCAGGTGAGGTGACTGTGCCAAAGTCACAAACTACGTTGGAGCCTGGTCCCATCAAGACGGATGGTGAGATTCTCGCCGCACGTCACCCGGTTGTCCTTCCTGCGGAAGAAGCCTCCTCCAACGAGACACGGCAGAGACATGTCGGACACGGCCAGGTTTCCAAGCCAAGACCAGGTGAGCCAAGCCACAGCCCGAGTATTCCTTCTGGGGCCACTTAAACGTAGGGGAACTTACGAAGGAGCAGGTAAAATATCTGCTCGTCGTCTCCGAGATTGACAAGCGGGGCCCTTTTTCAAAGCTTTGCCAAAAAAAGGAAACTTTTGTGTTTTTCAACCTGCATGGATAGGCTAGATCTGTGACGGTGAACCTATGGCACATGTGCCCGACGTGGCATGTGGAGCCATGTCGCCTGGCACCTGTGGCGTCGCCCGTTCCTCTTCCAGGTTTCTGGTGAGCATGTGCACACGCCAGAAACCGCAATTACCTTATCTGGCGCATGAATGCCTCCTGGGCAGCCCTTGTTCCTGGTCGCGGCCCTGACGAGCTTGCGTGAAATGCTCCCTTTTGGGGATTTGGTGCCCCGCCCGCATGCGCACGCTCCCTTTTTGGCACTCAGTGCCGAAAAGATTCGCCACCACTGGGCTAGGTAGATGTTTCGAGTTAGACAAGGACCTGGGAGGTGTGTGTTCAAATCCACCCTCTGCTGTGTGTGTGTGTGGGGGGGGAGGCTCTGTGATCTTTTTTTTTTTAATTTATTTTTTTGCCCCGAAAAAGCTTCCCTTGGCCATGCCAACTGGGGATTCCCACAACGGCAACTCCTGGGCAAGGAGTGAAGCTCGGCCTGAAATCTGGTGAGAAGATCCCAGGATTAAAAGCCCAAAAATTAATTAATTACATTTATTTATTTATTTGTTTGTTTGTTTCAATTTATATACTGCCCTTCTCCAATAGGACTCAGGGCGGTGAACAGCCGAAATAAAAACAGAACATACAAAATTTAAAAACAGTTTAAAATGAATTAAATATTTTTGGCCGCGATTTAAAACAAACCCAATTTAAAATCAATTAAAATTTAACCCAAAACTGTGGGATCAAGCCAGCCCGGCTAGTTGAAATAAATAAGTTTTCAGGGCCCGACGACATAAATAAATAAATAAGTAAGTAAGTAAGTAAGCGGGATTGGAAGAAAAAGGGAGTTGATATTCCCAATGGCTAAACCAGATGCCCAAATAATAAATCAGTGGGAAGAGCCCCCCCCCAAAAAAGGGGAGTGGATGGGTGGGCTTGCATTGCGGATTCCCTGCTCCTGACCGACCGACCGCCCCCCGTTGGGCCATCCATGGCCACGGTGGGAAGAGTTTGGCGAGCGGCTTCTGCGCCTTGATTCCCCAACTGAAGTGGGCCTCTCTTTTTTTTGGTCTCTCCAGGCCTGTCGCGGAGATGCCGCTGCTACCAACGGCTGGACCAGTGCCCCTTCCAGATTGGCCCCCACGAGTTCAAGTACCAGCTCCACAATTCAGATGATCGCACCCTTTTCCACTGTAACTGCACCCGCCGGTAAGCATCATGCGTGGCGCCCCCCCCTCTAGAAGTGGTGAGCGCTCTTATCACTGGAGGTTTCTATGAAGAGACTGGACAACCGTTTGTCTGGAATGGCGTAGGGTCTCCTCCTTGAAGGTTCAAGGGTTGGATTAGAGGACCTCCAAAGTCCCTTCCAACTCTGTTCTTCTAACAGGCTAACGGAGATTGGTAGGGGGTCTTTCCCTGCCTTGCCTTTGTGAAGCTGAAGCTTGGATTCGGGGGGTTTTTTCTCGGCCTGTAGTGTTTGAGGGCATTCTTGTGGCCCACCAGTGGCCAGCAGATTCGGACAGTGAGGAGGCTGGGGAGGAACGTGGGCCAGTCCTGGAGTCTGGGGAAGGCTCGGACGATGGCTCTGCGTCGGAGGCAGAAATGGGGCCAGAGCCATCTGATAGTTCTTTGCTGCCTCCGGAGTCTCCGGAGTCTGACATCCGCAAGGCAGAAGAACAGCGGGAGCCTGTTCCCAGTGTGCGCATGCACAGAGCTGCCAGGAGACAGGAACAATTAAGGAAACAGGGTCGACTTGGGAGTAAGGCTTGGAGATGATTGGCCCCTCCCATTAAGACATATAAAAGAGAAGCGAACGGAACGTGAGCTTTTGCAGGAAGCAATTCATTCATCTGGCCGATTCAAGAGTTGAAACTTCTGTTTGTGACTCTGTGCCAAGTTTGGCCTTGCCCTGCGCCTGGAAATTGGCTCTCTGGCACCGTTCCATGTGAGATAGGTGGATGTTGGCAACCTTCCTCTGAAAGACTGTTTATCTAAAGACTTGCGGACTGTAAATGAAAGTAATTTACAGCCGTATGAATTAAGAGGTTTGCCGGGACTAAGTTTGTGCTGTTTAATTTCTAAGGAAGGCTAGGCCAGAAAAGGCATCGGCTGCATTGTGGCTTTCTGTTTGGCTGCCGCCCCCCACCCCCGCCATAATATTTGATGTGAGTTTTATTCCTTTCCCAACCCACAGGTTGGCCCGGTTCCTGCGCAGGAGGAAGGGTCCCAACGAAGTGGAGGAGCAAGTCCTGTCTCACTATATCGCCCCTTCCTGTTTTGTCCTGGAGACCCTCCCAGGCTGCAGGATGGGAGACGAAAGCTGGCCCAAGTAAGTGGAAGGGAGGGAATGGGGAGAGGTCTCCTATCCACGAGTGCTATGTCCAAGGTCCCTTCCAGATTCTATTCTGATTCGGATTCTCTCTCACTTTCCTGTCTGCTATGGCTGCTCTTTTTTTTTTTTTTTTTTGGGAAACCCATCCAACTGCCAGCTCGTCCTTCCTGCTCTGCCCACCAGGAAAGGCTGATCCAACCTTTCTTCTCTCTCTCTCTTCCTCCCGCAGCTGCGTTGGCATCGGCAAAGCCGTCCTGGCTCCGGCTCGCCACCTCACCAACCGGCTGACGGGCAAACGGGCGAGGGGCTCTTTCAAAGTGAAGCGCCAAGAAGGGGCATCCCTGGAGGGAGCCACCCAGCTGTTTGACAAGTGTGTGCGGCTGGTGCGAGCCGCCACCCTCCGGCCGATGCCACGCTGAGCTGCGGCACACACGAGAGAGGGCCAAGCCCAGGAAGTGGACACTGTGAAACCGAGCTGTTTCTCCCGGCCCCCCACGTGCGTTCCCTGCCTTTTGGCCGGAAGCAGGTGCCCAGTGTGGACGACACAACTGCTGGAATTGGACAATGCCAGCTGGCCACCACCTGCTGTAAGGAATTGGCTTCAGCAGACCCTGGACTCTCAAAACTCTGGGGCACGGGGGCTGCGGAGGTGACTGATGGTACTGAGCCCAAATGAAAGGGACAGAGAGAGAGGTTGAAGCCACAAGCAGAGGTGATGTCCAGGTGATGTCCCTCACCTCTCAAAGCAGACGGCCTGACCAAGACTCCTCTTGCTGTGAGGGGCAGGGGTTTTCCGCCCCACCCCTCCCCACCCATGTTCTCCTTGCAAGGCAGGCAACCTGTAATGTATTTGGGGAAGGGAGGATGTCGTGGGGCCGTGAACAATGTCGCAATAACATGTTTTCTAAACGTGGCTTGAGATCTTCTTGGTTTGGGGGGAAGCAGTGGTGAAATACAATTTTTTGTTACTACCGGTTCTGTGGGCGTGGCTCGGTGGGCGTGGTGTGGCTTGGTGGGCGTGACTTGGTGGGCGGGGCAGGGGAAGGATACTGCAAAATCCCCATTCCCTCCCCACTCTGGGGCCAGCCAGAGGTGGTATTTGCCGGTTCTCCAAACCACTCATAATTTCCACTACCGCTTCTCCCGAACTGCTCAAAATTTCCGCTACTGGTTCTCCAGGACGTGTCAGAACCTGCTGGATATCACCCCTAGGGGGAAGGAAGGACACCGAGAAGTAGGTGAGGAGAGGGCATCCCCTCTCCCCTCTTCTCAGCTTCCCACTGTCCCCCTGCGCTGTGAGGGCAAACCCAGCCTCCTGCAGCATTTGTAAGATGATTTATTGGGGAGTAAGAGAGAGGTAGGACAGATTGTCTCAACTCTGAACTCATCCCGGGGAAGGTCCCCAATCTGGAGAGAGACCAGCCCTCCCACTTCCCAGTCCATCCCCCCTGCCTCCCCCTGCCTGGCCAGAGTTCTACATTCCAAGTTGCCCTCCGTCTTCAGAGCCTTGGCTTGAAATACCCCCCAGGGCATGGCTGCTGCTGCTGGCTGGGATTTTGCAGGGGGTCTCCCATCACCACGAGCCTGGCTGGGACCTCAGCGCTTACAACATGGAGGCCTCTGGAAATGCCTCTTCCTCCTCCTTTCCTCCTTGCTGTGCCCCACTCGCCCCGTCTTCAAGCTGGGAGCTTCTGAGCTCATCAGCCAACCACCAGGAAGCTTCGGGCTGCACCGTATGAAGGGGAGGCAGAGGGGCTTCCATCCTCTGGCTGGTCCTCCCTGTGACAGGCCAAAACAGTGTTAAGGGGGATCCAGTTTGGGGTGCCGATCTCGGTGTTTGGGGAGAGAAAGAGCTGTCCCCCAAGGAGGACGAGGGGTGAGAGCAGCACAGGAGGGACAGGCCGTTGGCTGGGCTCCGATGCAGACACAGGGCAATTGTCAAGCTGATGGGATGGGGTGGCACCAGGGCAGCTCCTTGTCTGGGTCTGCGCCCCATCGGGACAGCTGCATTGAGGGTGTGCAAGGCAGGCCAAGAGAGGAGTGGGCAAAGGGCATCGTCACGCACGCTACGCAGGATAGTTGCCTGGTGGGCTCTGCTGCCTTAGTGTCTGGTATCACAGCTATGGCTACCGTGGGGTGCCCCCTCTTGTGGGGAAGTACTAAAGAGGGCTGCGAGCCCCGCTGTGGGGCTGGTGGGGCTCATCCTTCGTCCAGGCAGACTCGGGTCAGAGCTGTCACGTCGGGAGCCCATGACTCGGTCCACCGTCTCCAAACGCACAGCGGGCAGCAAGCCCAGATTCCTCGGATCGGTCCGGGAAAGCGGAGTCTCCTCGAAGCGCCAGCTTGTCCGAGCCTGGGAGGTGGTAGAGGAGGAGGAGGAGGAGGAGGAGGAAGAGGAGATCTCGGCATTCTGCGCCATCTCCCGCGACTTGGAGCGGTGCCGTGGGCTGTCCTTGGAAAACTGGATGCTGGGAATGTCCACCTTCAGAATGGTGCTGTGGCGGCGTCCCTGGGGTGAGGGGCTGCGGCTGGCCCCTTGGTCACGGCTGGAGGAGCGCAAGAGCAGGCCCTGGAACTTGGCCAGGCTGGGGCTGCGGCTACGGTGACGGTGCATCTTGCCGGGGCTAGGGCTGCGGGATTTGGGGCCCAGGAGTACCAGCGTGCTGTCGTCGTCCTCTTCGGAGGTGCTGTTGGTGCTGTCCGTGGCGCTGCTGACTTGCTCCAAGGTTGGCAAGGAAATCTAGGCCGGGAAATTGAGGGGAGGGGGAGAAGGAAAGTCAGTTTTTCTCAAATCACAAGCACTGTTCATACATCATCTTGGACTCTTGGAATAGAGTTGCTCTGTTTACACAATATATCGATCGGTGGTGGGTTGCTGCTGGTTCACCCCGGTTCAGACGAAATGGTAGCGGCGGTGGGAGGCTCCGTCCACCCACCCGGACATCATCAAATACACTCTGCGTATGCGCCGGAGTGAACCGGTAGCACAGGTAAGTGAAACCCACCACTGATATCGATGAACCCTTCGGATGATGCCTGGATTACTCCCGACATGCAAAGACAACCGTTGGGTTTTCAGAACACGCTGGCTGTATACCACAAGGGCGAAATGCACTTACCTTCGCTACTGGATCGGAAATGTGAGCGCTCGCACACGCCTCCACACACGTGTCGAGCCTTCTGCACATGCGCAGAGGGTCCAAAACGGGACGTCATGACGTCCGGAGGTGGTTGGGCGGAACCTCCCCCCCACCGGCCCTACCGGATCGTGCGAGCAGGATAGATCCTGCTGAATTTCACCACTGTGTACTCCACCCAACTCTGTGTAGTTCTTTGTGGAACCACAGCCACACAAAGTTGCACAACAGGCCACGGCCAGCTTGCTGCAGCCAACTCGCCGTAGGACAAGAGTTACACAAATGTCGAACAAATAGTGGAATAGAATAATTAAAGAAAGGACACCAAAGAAGGGACAAATGACATGGGAATGACAAAAATTAAAATAATTATTTTAAATAATTGAATTGTTGAATTGTCCATGGCGAGTTGGCTGCGGCAAGGTGTCTCATTCCATCCCAGACCAGGGTCTCCTGACTAAAAGCCCTGTCACACCTTCATTGCCGTTACAGTTGCCGCAGCTACTGAACTAAATGAGCGGAGTTCTCCTATGCTGTTGTGTGCATCACAACTGGATTTCAAAAGGAATGAAAGTAATAAGGTAAAGGTAAAGGTTCCCCTCGCACATATGTGCTAGTTGTTCCCGACTCTAGGGGGCGGTGCTCATCTCCGTTTCAAAGCCGAACAGCCAGCACTGTCCGAAGACGTCTCCGTGGTCATGTCGCCGGCATGACTCAATGCCAAAGGCGCACAGAACGCTGTTCCCTTCCCACCAAAGGTGGTCCCTATTTTTCTACTCGCATTTTTTACCTGCTTTCGAACTGCTAGGTTGGCAGAAGCTGGGACAAGTCACGGGAGCTCACCCCGTTAGGCGGCACTAGGGATTCGAACCGCTGAACTGCCGGCCTTTCGATCGACAAGCTCAGCGTCTTAGCCACTGGGTCACCACGTCCCTTATATGAAAGTCATAGAAAACAATAAAAGATCCAGTTCCATGGACATCTGAACTACGGACTCGAATTATGACCACATTGGGGCTGTAATTTTGGTCGTAAGTCATGCCAATCTTAAGGAAACCAGCAACAAACGTCACAAATCATTGTTCCTGCATCTATGGGATGCCGCAACCGGTCATAAATGTGAGCTGGTTGCCAAGCACCCGAAATGCAGTCACAGTCATTGACATAGACATGGTCATGCCATGTAAACGGAAAATGTAGACGGTGTCCTGCCCTCCAGATGCTCACCTGGAAGGGATCTGTCACTCCCACCATGCAGCTGGTGTTGTTGCTGTAGTAGCCAAGGATGTAATCCCCCTTCCCTTTCGGCAGGGACTCTTCGGGAAAGGTTAGCTAGAGGTGGAAGAGAGACAAAGGGTTGGGGAGTTGGAAGCCCAGCAGAAGATTATCCACAAACTAACCAACCAACCAACCATTCTAATAATTCTAATTCTAATAATTCTTATTTCTGTTCTATTCTGTTCTGTTCTGTTCTGTTCTATTCTATTCTATTCTATTCTATTCTATTCTATTCTATTCTATTCTATTCTATTCTATTCTATTCTATTCTATTCTATTCTATTCTATTCTATTCTATTCTTCTCTACTCTACTCTACTCTACTCTACTCTACTCTACTCTACTCTATTCTATCCCTTATTCTATCCTATTCTATTTCTATTCTATTCTATTCTATTCTATTCCACTCCATTGCACGCCACATTTTCTATTGTATATTCTGTATTCTGTATCCTATATCCTATTCTATTCTTTGTTGTTAGTCGCAAAGTTGTGTCCGACCCATCGTGACTCCATGGACAACATTCCTCCAGGCCTTCCTTGTCCTCTACTATCCCCCGGAGTCCATTGAAGCTCAGGCTGACTGCTTCAGTGACTCCATCCAGCCATCTCGTTCTCTGCCATCGTCCCCTTCTTCTTCTTTTGCCCTCCGTCGTTCCCAGCATTCGGCTCTTCTCCAGGGAGTCCTTCCTTCTCATTAGGTGGCCAAAGGATTTGAGCTTCATCTTCAGGATCTGGCCTTCTAAAGAGCAGTCAGGGTTGATCTCGTCTATGACCGACCAGTTGGATCACTTTGCAGGCCAAGGGACTTTCAGGAGTCCCTTGGAACGGTCGATCGATCTATTTATTGTTGTTATTAGTTGCGAAGTCATTTTCGACCCATCGCGACTCCATGGACAACGTTCCTCCAGGCCTTCCTGTCCTCTACCATCCTCTGGAGTCCATTGAAGCTCACGCCGACTGCTTCAGTGACTCCATCCAGCCACTTTGTTCTCTGCCATCGTCCCCTTCTTCTTCTTTTGCCCTCCATCGTTCCCAGCATTCGGCTCTTCTCCAGGGAGTCCTTCCTTCTCATCAGGTGGCCAAAGGATTTGAGTTTCCTCTTCAGGATCTGGCCTTCTAAAGAGCAGTCAGGGTTGATTTATTCTATTATTATTATTCTATTATTATTATTGTATTGTATTGTATTGTATTGTATTGTATTGTATTGTATTGTATTGTATTGTATTGTATTCTATTCTATTCTATTCTATTCTATTCTATTCTATTCTACTCTACTCTACTCTACTCTATTCTCCTTCCCGTTCTCTTCTAATTCTCTTCTCCTTCCCTCTTTCTCTTTCTCTTCTCTTCTCCTTCCTTTGTCCCTTCTCATTCTATTCTATTCTATTCTATTCTATTCTATTCTATTCTATTCTATTCTATTCTATTCTATTCTATTCTATTCTATTCTATTCTATTCTATTCTATTCTATTCTTCTGTTAATTTCTATCCCATGTTCCCTCTGGTCATTTCGTTCTCATA